GACATTTAGTAGATTTTGGTATCCAAATTGCTTTGGATCCTTGGACGTTAGTTTCAATGCCGCTTGTTCCCTTAGGAACCCATACTTGTCTAATTTTAAAAGATTTTTTTTCTTTATAGGACAAGTATGTTCCAAATGACCATGGAAATGGAAATGTGAGCATTTTGCCATTTTTAAACATAATGAGTTGTTTTGAGAAATTAATTCTTTTTCTTTTGTTAAGCTCCCAAGCTTAACTTTTAAATCAAAATTTTATTTTTCTAAGTCATTGATTTTGATTTTTGAAAACTCTAAATCATTTTTCAAAATTTCATTTTGATTTTCAAAATCAAATTTGACTTTCAAAATCAAATCATTTTCAACTTTAAAATTTGAAATTAATTTCTTATATTTGGAATTCATGGTCTCAAATTCCAAATACAACTCATTATAAGCATCTTGTAACTCATCAAAAGAATGTGAATTTAAATCATTTGAGTTAGAAGATACCTCAGAATCTCCTTCGATGGCCATGAGGCATAGGTTGTCTACTTTATCTTCATCATTGGAGTCATATTCATCACTCCAAGCTGCCACAAATGCCTTTTTTCTTTGATGATCCCTTTTTCTTTAGGAGAGGGCATTCATACTTGACATGCCCATTTCTTTGACAATTGAAGTACACCGGGGGACCCTTCTTCTTGGTTGATTCATGCTTCACTTCCTTGGAAGAAATGAATCTCTTGAACTTTTTAAAGAGCTTGGCCATCTCTTATTCTTCATCATCGTCTTCATCCACCTCTTCACTTGAATCATGATAGCTCTCATTGGTGGACTTGAAGGCAATGCCTACCTCATTCTTCTTCTTGTTTTGCTTCTCTTCATCTTTTTTTCTCTTCATTCACTATCAACTCATGGGTGAGTAGAGAACCAATTAGCTCGTTGAGAGTGAGAGACTTTAGGTCTTTAGCTTCGATAATCGCCGTCTTCTTCGATTGCCAAGACTTTGGAAGAGAGTAGATCATCTTCCTCACTAACTTCTCATTGGAGATAACTTCTCTAAATCCTTTGAGACCATTGAAATCACGTAAAATCTATCCGTTATAACTTTGATGTCTTCATCGGGTTTCATCTTGAAATTCTCGTAATTATGGTTGAGAAGACTTATCTTGGTTTCCCTCACTTCATCGGTTCCCTCATGAGTGACTTGGATCTTATCCCATATCTAATTGGTATTGGAACAAGAGAAGACTCTTCTGTATTCATCTGGGCCTAATGCATAAAAGATGATGTGCATAGCCTTAGTATTGAGCTGGAACTTCTTATTCTCTCCATCACTCCAATCATCCATCTCTTCGGTTGGAATGGTGTATCCTTTAATAATCGAATTCTAAGCTCCTAGATCGTTGGCTTGAATAAACAGTGTCATTATATTCTTCCAATAGGCATAATTTGCTCTATTGAAGTAGGGCAGCTTGTTGACCGGTTTTGAATCTTCAATGTAGTAGGCACCAGAGGTTGAAGTCATTTCTTTATCGGTTGCTTTGGAAATAGGTAAATCTTCTTCAAGGATCGTCTCAAGGTTATTAAACCTTCTAATGAGTCAAGCTCTGATACCAATTGTTAGGATTAATGAAGAGGCTCAATTGACAACCGAAAAAGTGCAAAGGGGTCTACATCCACTACCTTAGATTCTCACTAAGGTTTTTCTAACAAATTCACTAATTTGTTCTTTCTTTTTCAAGGACAAAGAGATAACCTTTACAACTCCCAATTTTTCAATTGGCTAAGATAAAACCAAAACCCTTTACAAAAGGAAAAAGAATGTAAACAAATAAAACCTCTAAACAAGGAAGGTGTTTACAAAATTTAGCTCACAAGAACAAATATTTACAAGAGAAATGAAAATAAGATTGGAAAATTATTCTCTTGTGTTTGATTGCTTGGATAGGTGTTCTAACCCTTCTTCAAGTGTTCTTAACTTGTATTTATATGTTGGAATGTTGTTGTGGCCATTTTTAGCCGTTGGAGGTGGTTTGGAGTCGTTGGGGGATCAATTTTCGTGCAAAATAAAGTTGCCCAGACCAAGGGGTATTGGTACTCCTAAAGGGAGTATCGGTACTACCTTTGTTTATATTTAAATCAACTAGTCGTTACTAGCCGTTGGGGCCTGATGGTATCGATACTATGCCTATGTTATCGATACTAATATGTAGAGTAGTATCGGTACCCCTTTGGGTATCGGTACCATTTTCATATTCTAGAATTTGAGCAAAGCTTGTAGTATCGGTACTACCTAGTGAGTATCGATACTTCCCTTACCTTTGGTTTCGGTACCATATGAACAATATCAGTACTTGTTCAATTATCGATACTGTAAGAACAGTATCAGTACTACTTGTCCAGAAAAACATTTTGTGCTCAATTCCAAGCTTTTAAGGACTTTGAATTATTTTTGAAACTTTTGAGAAACTTTGAATAAATTCAATTCAAGACCAAAAAACATTTTGCCTTAAATTGTTATATCAAAATATAGTTCAATACATCCTGATAGGGAAGTGGTGGCGGGTTATTGAACATTACTCTTGTTGAAGAATCAAACTTAGAAAGCTCTAGACTCAATGAAGAACTAAGGGGGATGAATAATAGAAGATGGCTCCCTTATGAAGTTGAACGGTAAATATGATGATGATGAGGATGGATTTGTGGAAAATAGATGAATAAGTGTTCTATCGAACCCTTCTAGTCGCAATGAAAAGGAAAACTCGATAATATGGCTCTAAGCAACCCTCCTAGTCGTGATGAAAAGGCAAATTGGAGTGCGGAGATTAATCTCCCTCATAAGAACTTGAAAGAACTCCAGGATAAAAATCTTCGAAGGCACAAGGCAATCAACACTTGTAAAAACAAACTCTCGTTGTATTATTAATCAAACAAATCTGTTTTATGAAGTTGAATGAAGCCTTCTTTATATAGGGGATGAGTTCTAAAGGTCCTAAGTAACTAATGAATAAAATAATAACAAACTAAACACGTCTTAACTCTAATTCCCAATAAAATAATAATAACTAAAAATAATGTTTTAACTTAACCTTAATTCCTAATAAAATAATAAATATAATCCTAAAATATAATACAACATCCTATATTAAATTATATTACAAATAATCAATATAAATATTGAAAATTCGTAATATTTACAAAATCACGTATTAGTCTCGTATAGGAATTTCTGCATGCGCCGTCTTCACTAAAATGAATGTATTTTGAGTTCCTGATATTAGATTGATGCGATTCAAGAACCGTTGGAAAGATAAGAGATGAAGAGTTGTATATACAGAAGACATGTTGAACAAATAAGATCAGGATCCCATTCAAAAAGTCATCGCAAGTCTGCTACTGTTATGGTCTTCTTTTCCAAGGCTTGGACGATTGGATCATTTGGAAGAGTTATTACTTCTTCCTTTGATGTGATCCTTGTGATGCATGTATCATCCTCCATTTCTTCAAAAATATTAGACCTCGAATCTGAAACATTAAAGGGAGCAACATTAGAATCGTTTAATGATTCATTCATATATTATGCTTACCGAACATATATGCTTTGAATCTTCGAGACTTTGTTCTTCAAATAGGTTCTAGTAGAAACATTAGTCCAAAGAAGCATGTATTATGGAATCTGGTGCATATATCATTCCCCCACTCCTCAAAAGGATTCATCCTCGAATCTTTAGACTCTCGTAAATCGTGACTCTTCATTGATATAGCATATTGATTAGGGATTTCAGGTGGTAACCCGTCAGGAGGGTCACCTAACACCATTCGACAACTCTTGGTGATGGAAGATGATGTGGGTCAGTCTTGTGTTGCTTTTACTTTTTATCATTTATATGGATGCCCTGTGCACGAACTATAAAGTCTGTGAAGTTGTTCAAATCATGTTTCGTCATTAACATGGCGTCACGACTAAGGCTTTCCTGGATGTAAACTTTTTGTAACAAATCTAACTCTTTGGTTTCTTTGAGATTGTATGTTTGACGAGGTATGATGGAACCTTGAATTAGATTGGTTTGGTGTTGTTTTCCTCTTTTCGGTGGTGATATTTCAGGTGGATCACCTAACACTTCTTGAAAATCCTGTAAAAGAGAGGAAAACACAGTAGGCAAATCCTTGTTAATATTAGAAATCGAAGCAATTGATTCCCTAAAGTGAATAATGATGCAAGGCTATTTGTAAAGAAGATTATCTCTGAATTCTTTTATGCTCACACATATATATTTTGATTAACTATTTTCTTCTCACAATTAGGTTCACTCACCTCCCATGAGTAATTATTCTTTTCGCTTTTGTAAGTAGTGACCTCTTTTGCTTTTGCCTCTTTCTCAGCTTTTTATTTCTTTTGCTTTCCCTACCTCCTCACAAATTCTCATTTGATCTTTCAAGATTTCTTTTGGTGACATTGGCCTGAGAGTGTAAGGCTTATCGTCTAAGTTCAAAGTGTATTTGTTTGCCTTACCATAGTACGTAACATCATTGTCGTATTGTCATGGTCTTCCTAGAAGGATGTGAGAAACTTGCATTGGAATTACGTCACACCAAATTTCGTCACAATACTTGCCCATCTATAGTTTGACTAGGCATTGTTTGGTGGCTTTTGTTTTGGACTCTTAATTAATCCATTACGGACAATATGGTTTTGGATGTTGTTGACAAGGTAGGTTGAGTGCCTCTACCAGGTAGCTACTCACCATGTTTGTAAAACTTCCATTATCAATGATTATGGAGTAAGGTTTACCTTGTATCAAACATCTTGAATGAAATAATTTTGTTATTTGAATATAAGCTTCTTCCGTATCTTCAGTGCTTAAAGACCGACATATAACCATCCAATTAGGTCTGAAAAATTGTCCTGGTTCAAACATCCTGAAAATCACAACACTCAACGAAACATTTAAAGTAAAATAAAAATAAAATAAAGAAAATTCAACAAAGCAAGAAACCTCACAAATAACTCCAAGAAAGTAATACAACGAGAGGCAAGTAAGCCGATCTTGTACTCTTTAAAACTCACTTTACCAAGTAGTCTTCCATAGTTCATATCGGAGTTTGATTACTAGAAAATGCGATAAGAAAAACTTAAAAGCTCTAAGAGGCCAAACAAGGGTTAAACTCCAAGAGAACGAGAATGCAAAGAATGAAGAAGTATGCAAACTCTTTAGTCCTACTAACACAAGTAAAATAATGTGTTAGATAATGTAAAAGAACAATAAAAGGAAAACAAAAGAACCTAAAGCACTAAGAGTCAAAGAGAAAAATAAAACCAAACCTGAAACCTAGAAAACGCTGGGTCAACTTGAGAAACGTTTTTAAGAGGGTTACCAGTGTCCAAAAATTTTGTAAAAACTCTTGAATGTCGATTGATGTGTTTAGTAACAACCAGTAAATTTTCAGAACCAAATATCTTCAATAATATCCAGTAGACTTTGTTGAACAATGAGTCCTCAAACAGTCTATTATTCGTGATCGCTTTGTTCGAAGGTGTTATTGATCTCCAAAAATTTCTGATTTTGTGTGTGAAAGATCTTCAATATATTTTAGTTTCAATATGAAAATTTTCACCACGAAATTCCTCCTGTATAATTTTCAATAAATTCAACAAGATTCTAGACTGAATCTGCTGATGAAACTTGAACGATGTATTTGAAGGATATAATGAACTCTGATTGTGGTACATTTTTGGATGAAGATTATTCTTAGGATGAGTATGATATCTGGAGAAAATAAACCCTAAATTCCTTTATTTTCAATTTTTCAATTTTTGTGACTTTTTTTTGGCTTTTTTAGTTTTCTTTTTTTGGCCTTATTTTAAAAAAAAATAGCAAACTAACAAGAAGAATTTGAATCTAAATTAAAATTAAATAAAAAGAACATGAAACGATGAATCTTTTGTGAACTAGCTCCGTTGGGGTACCTTGACAGTTTTGTGTGCAAGAACAAGTAAGATTGCTTGCTTCTTTCCAAGAATCGGCCTAATTCTAATATTAATTGATAGGGAAGCGGTGACAGGTTATTGAACATTGCTATTGTTGAAGAATCAAACCTAGAAAGCTCTAGACCCGATGAAGAACAAAGGGGGATTAATAGTAGAAGGTGGCTCCCTTATGAACGTGAACGGTAAAGATGATGATGGTGAGGATGGATAAGTGTCCTATCGAACCTTCCTAGTCACAATGAAAAGGCAAACTCGATAATATGACACTAAGTGTCCTATCGAACCCTCTTAGTCGCAATGAAAAGGAAAACTCGATAATATGGCTTAAACCAACCCTCCTAGTCGTGATGAAAAGGCAAATTGGAGTGTGAAGATTAATCTCCCTCACAAGAACTTGAAAGAACTCCAGGAGAAGAAGCTTCGAAGGCATAAGGCAATCATCACTTGCAAAAACGAACTCTCGTTGTATTATTAATCAAAGAAATATGTTTTACAAAGTTGAATTAAACCTCCTTTATATAGGGGATGAGTTCTAAAGGTCCGAAATAACTAATGAATAAAATAATAACAAACTAAACATGTCTTAACTCTAATTCCTAATAAAATAATAATAACTAAAAATAATGTTTTAACTTAACCTTAATTCCTAATAAAATAATAAATCTAATCCTAAAATATAATGCATCATCTTATATTAAACTATATTACAAATAATCAATATAAATATTGACAATTCGTAATATTTATAAAATTATATATTAGTCTCGTATAGGAATTTCTGCATGCGCCGTCTTCACTAAAATGAACGTATCTTGAGTTACTGATATCGGATTGATGCGATTCAATAACCGTTGGAAAGATAAGAGATAGACAGTTGTATATCCAGAAGAAATGTTGACAAAAAAATATCAGGATCCCATTCAAAAAGTCGTTGCAAGTCTGCTACTGTTCTAATCTTGTTTTCCAAGGCTTGGACGAGTGGATAATTTGGAAGAGTTATTACTTCTTCCTTTGATGTGAGTCTTGTGATGCATGTATCACATCCAAGGGGGAGCGTTATAAATATTTATTTATGTGGATGTTTATCTTTATCTTTATCTATAAGATAGGATTTTGATGTATATCATTATTATGTCTTTAATATCCATTAGTATTAGAGTTTTATATTACATACACTACATATGACTATAAACATAGAGATTGATGAAGTATCTCAATATACTTCATATCTATATTTTCTTCATATATCTTGTTCTTATTTTCTCTTTGTTTTATAACATTAAATTATTTTTAAGGACATTAGTATTAAATTATTAAATCAAATGTAAATACATAATTAAGTGGAGTTCATGCATTAGTAAGGGTAAAATTATAATTTGCTTTCAAACGTAAAGTTGAAAATGAAAAAAAAACTAGAAATCATAACTTTTGCGGTTGGTTTGAAACCATCATTTCTATCGTAATTTGTTTTTCATTTTTTATCCGTTTGACATTGATTTTGCAGTCAAAACGAATTTTTTTTTTAACTAAAAGTGTTTTTAGAAAGTCACACTGAATGGGCCTAATAACAAAACAAATTCTAAGTGAGGTCCAAATTCAATTATTTATTTAACAACCTACGCATGTATGATTAGAATACAATAAACTTGAAATATGACAAAACAATTTCAAATGATTGGAATCCCTAACAACTTCTCAACAACAAGAAGGTTATACATGATAAATTAATTGAAAACTAGTCTAATTGTGTTTGTTTTTTGTGAAAAAGATATTGTTTTGTTGGATGAAAATGATGGATTAAGAGTGAGAGAACACCTAATTGATTCCCTAAGCCCAACATTTTGGACATGTCTTAAGGTTTGACTGACTCTAGAGTTGTTAATTTTGTCTACTATATAAAAATCACACATGTACAACATTGCAAAAGTAATATACTGATAATTGTATTATATAAAATGGATTACATTTTTGTTCATGTATTTTTTTGGTTGCAATGTATTTTTTAAAATAGTACTAAAAATTAAATACATTAAAGACGAGTGAAATGATATTTCTATTATTATTAAAAGAAATATTATTGAATGTATAAGGTGAAATGACATTAATTTGTTTGAAGCATACTAGACATTTATTATTATCATAGACCTAACACCTATAATCGACGTTATCTTATCTCCCGCTATAAAAGTATTAATCGTTCTCTCATTGGTCACAATTCTCCACCCGAATCAGAAAGAATAAACCTGTCAATAATTAATAATTCAAAAAAATTCACCAATATTTTTTATATTTTAACTTTAAATATTTAATAGATCTTCATTTATTTAACATTTAACAATTTAACCGCTAATATTTGACTTGGTTTCATCTCTTGTAATGATAACTTAAATCATGTCATATTAATTGAGTTCATTTCATAAATTTAATAATTTGTAACAGTTACAAGCTTATTATTTTGCAATCCCCGCTCCCCACCTATAAAACATTTTACTTATAGAATTCACCATATAATACAAGACATTATACAAAATAGTCACAAGTGTGAAAATGGAGGGATGTGAGGTACAATGGGATATATATATTTAACACAAACAGGCTGTGGGTAGTACAGGGACAGAGTACATATATAAATTAACGTGTGGTTTGGTTTCTGGGAATTTATTGCCATGGGGTTACTATGTCTTTCTGGTACTACTCCCATTATCAAGTCGTGGTTTTAAATTGATGGGTGCATTTGTCTCACTTCGGTTGCACGAACAGACGAATGAATACTTATTTTTTTTTCTTATTTTGAAAATGAGTTAGAATTGAATTCATCGAACCATCTTAGTAGTAAAAGAAAATATTCTTTTTTTCTAAAAATTTTAAATTTGAGTAATTATGTCTACATGATGTGTAAGTTATCAATGACTAAGAAAAATTCTAAACAATTACTACTTTGTAATCATCCCAGAGCCTAGACTATTAAAAAAGGATAGAATTGTTTGTATATTAATTTAATTCATATTATTATTTCTATAATATATTAAACATATTTAAATATACCGATAGAACAAAAAATGATTATGTCGGTCGAAGACGATTATTCTTTTATGATTTAGATGGAGAGTCATAATCAGTAATTAATTAGTGGATGTTCGGTTATACAAAGATTATGGAGGCAAAATCCGATAGGAAATGCTTTTTCTTTTATTAAGCTAAGGTGATTACAAAGTAGTATATGTTTTAAATATTTTCAACCATTGGACAATGGTTTTTCAATCACCCTGATGCAATCGTTGGTGCTCAAACTCGTGACCTCTAAAAACAACAATGATTCTTTTAACCATTGAGGTAAGTTGGTTTGTGCAAGAGATGTTTTTTATTTGTGGGAGAGAGAGTCATCATTTATGTATGTTAATAAATTTATATAATGATCTCAAATTGACTCTATTTGCATGTTTGTAACATGTTTAGAGTCATTATTGTTATCAATAGATTAATAGAGTATATAAATACAACCGTTAATTAATAGATTTGATCAAATTAAACTCTCAATTTTATCAAGAGTTTTTTCAAAGGTTTTGTCGAAAACTTTTGTCCTCCAATAAATCTTTACGGAGGTGATTTTACTATTCTGACCAATGGATATAAGATTCTGTTTTCGAAAATGTAATACTTTAATTTTGTCTGAAAAATTTAAGTTAGGTCGAGGGGGATTAAAGTATAACAGATTTGATGGAGTCGCTATCGAATATGGCAATAAGGTGGTGTAGATTATTGGATAGTGAGAAATCATGGGGTCCTAACTGGGGAGAATGGATACATCAAAATTGAGTGTAATATTGCAAGTGCCTCCACCAAAAAGTGTGGTGTCGTAATGATGGCATCATGTCCCATTAAGAACGGACTGAACCCACGTAAACCTTCTTCATCTCCCCTTGCACCCATAAGGCCACCAATTGTTTTTGTTGCGTATTACAATTGCCTTCAAGGAACCACTTGTTGTTGCTTATTTGAGTATGCTAATTACTGTTTTGGTTGGGGATGCTACCCGATAGTCTGTGACATGCTATAAC